TTTGACTAGGAGGGTGGTGAAACACTGGAATGCGTTACCTAGGGAGGTGGTGGAATCTCCTTCCTTAGAAGTTTTTAAGGTCAGGCTTGACAAAGCCCTGGCTGGGATGATTTAGTTGGGGATTGGTCCTGCTTTGAGCAGGGGGTTGGACTAGATGACCTCCTGAGGTCCCTTCCAACCCTGATATTCATAGAATCATAATCATATTCTATGATTCTATGATTCCTCAGCTCTTCCAAGATCCAGATCATTTACTTCACCCCAACCTAGGGGTCCTTCGCATCAGAGCATGGTTCCTCGATGGTTCGTGGGATTAGAATCTACCTGCTCTGTGAAAGTACAAGTGTTACTCAACAGTAGGAAGTAAAACTGAATTACTTACCTGCAGAAGTGGAACAGATTCAGCCACTGTTGTCAACACCACTGGCTTGTGTCTGAATCTTCATCACTTTCAGCTATCCTGGACTTACCTGTTGGACCTAAAGAAACCAGGGTCATCAATTAGCTCGATTAAGGTTCACTTGGCTACAGTATCAGCTTTTCATCCTCCAGTAGAAGGGTTTTCTATATTTGCTCACCTATATCTTCAAGGTTTATTAAGGGTTTGGGGAACCTCTACGCTCAAGTTAAGGATCACTACTGCAACTTGGGACCTCAGACTAGTACTTAGATATCTCATGAGACTTGCCCAGTGTTCCAAGACTTATTCAAAATCAGCATTAGCAGTCCAGAGTGCTCGCTGGCCAGCTATTTAAACCTCTTGATTGCAGCTCTTGAGCTGCACCTGCACTCAAATATCAAACTTGAGTAGCTGCCTTTTAAAATCCTTCTTAGTTACTGTTGGAATGGAAAGTATTTCCTCATTCATCATGATCTTCTATGAATATATCAGCTGGCTTTTTCCCAAAAACAGAACAGAAATATTTATTGAATGCTTGTGCCATTCTTTCATTATTCAATACCATTGTTAGGATTTCTTTTGCTCCTAATATACTTTTAAAAGCCCTCCTTCTTATCGTTCTGAACTCTGCTGGCCATAGGTTTTTCCTTGTGTCTTTTTGATTCCCTTTTCAATTTTCTACCTTTCCTATCTTCCAATTTATATTCATTACTATCAACCTCTCCTTTTTTCCATTTGTTTATATATTGTTTTTTTTAAATGTATACTTGCTTTCACTTCACCTTTAACTCAAATTTGTTTGTAGCCTCTTTGTCAGTGGTTGCTTTTTGAACATGTAATAAAATGTTCTTAGAGAGTGCCCAGTTATTCACATTCACATTCTTTAATTTTTTCCTCCCAGTTGATTTGGCTCAATTGTTTTCAGCATTGTGAAATTGTCCCTTTTAAAGCACCAAGAGTGTGTGTGTGTGTGTTTATTTATTTCTATTTACTGGTTAAGACTTTTTTCTGTTTGCACATTGTAAATGTGATCAAGTCATGATCACTTGCACCTAAGCAACCACTAACTTTTAGTTCTGTGATCAATTCCCTTTGATCTATTAGACTGTCCTTGTTCACTAAGGATCTGATCCAGTTGCTGCGATAGCCAGTGGGCATTGGATCAGGCCCTTGGAGAACAGAGCATTCTTGTTATCTGTACGTGGTATTTCTCTGATGAACAAGGTTATTCACCAGCAACTCTCCCTTTGTTTGAAATTCTAGGCAGATTTCTGTCCTGTCTGTTGTTGACACTGTTCCACACTGGAAAGTCTCTCTTCAGATAGGAACAGTTTTCTGTCTTGGTTAAGCAAGAGGGTTAGGGTTGAATATGCTTCTCATCTCATATCATATCATAGAATCATAGAATATAAGGGTTGGAAGGGACCCCAGAAGGTCATCTAGTCCAACCCCCTGCTCGAAGCAGGACCAATTCCCAGTTAAATCATCCCAGCCAGGGCTTTGTCAAGCCTGACCTTAAAAACCTCTAAGGAAGGAGATTCTACCACCTCCCTAGGTAACGCATTCCAGTGTTTCACCACCCTCTTAGTGAAAAAGTTTTTCCTAATATCCAATCTAAACCTCCCCCACTGCAGCTTGAGACCATTACTCCTCGTTCTGTCATCTGCTACCATTGAGAACAGTCTAGAGCCATCCTCTTTGGAACCCCCTTTCAGGTAGTTGAAAGCAGCTATCAAATCCCCCCTCATTCTTCTCTTCTGCAGGCTAAACAATCCCAGCTCCCTCAGCCTCTCCTCATAACTCATGTGTTCCAGACCCCTAATCATTTTTGTTGCCCTTCGCTGGACTCTCTCCAATTTATCCACATCCTTCTTGAAGTGTGGGGCCCAAAACTGGACACAGTACTCCAGATGAGGCCTCACCAATGTCGAATAGAGGGGAACGATCACGTCCCTCGATCTGCTCGCTATGCCCCTACTTATACATCCCAAAATGCCATTGGCCTTCTTGGCAACAAGGGCACACTGCTGACTCATATCCAGCTTCTCGTCCACTGTCACCCCTAGGTCCTTTTCCGCAGAACTGCTGCCTAGCCATTCGGTCCCTAGTCTGTAGCTGTGCATTGGGTTCTTCCGTCCTAAGTGCAGGACCCTGCACTTATCCTTATTGAACCTCATCAGATTTCTTTTGGCCCAATCCTCCAATTTGTCTAGGTCCTTCTGTATCCTATCCCTCCCCTCCAGCGTATCTACCACTCCTCCCAGTTTAGTATCATCCGCAAATTTGCTGAGAGTGCAATCCACACCATCCTCCAGATCATTAATGAAGATATTGAACAAAACTGGCCTCAGGACCGACCCTTGGGGCACTCCACTTGATACCGGCTGCCAACTAGACATGGAGCCATTGATAACTACCCGTTGAGCCCGACAATCTAGCCAGCTTTCTACCCACCTTGTAGTGCATTCATCCAGCCCATACTTCCTTAACTTGCTGACAAGAATACTGTGGGAGACCGTGTCAAAAGCTTTGCTAAAGTCAAGAAACAATACATCCACTGCTTTCCCTTCATCCACAGAACCAGTAATCTCATCATAGAAGGCGATTAGATTAGTCAGGCATGACCTTCCCTTGGTGAATCCATGCTGGCTGTTCCTGATCACTTTCCTCTCATGCAAGTGCTTCAGGATTGATTCTTTGAGGACCTGCTCCATGATTTTTCCAGGGACTGAAGTGAGGCTGACTGGCCTGTAGTTCCCAGGATCCTCCTTCTTCCCTTTTTTAAAGATTGGCACTACATTAGCCTTTTTCCAGTCATCCGGGACTTCCCCGGTTCGCCACGAGTTTTCAAAGATAATGGCCAATGGCTCTGCAATCACAGCCGCCAGTTCCTTCAGCACTCTCGGATGCAACTCGTCCGGCCCCATGGACTTGTGCACGTCCAGCTTTTCTAAATAGTCCCTAACCACCTCTATCTCCACAGAGGGCTGTCCATCTCTTCCCCATTTTGTGATGCCCAGCGTAGCAGTCTGGGAGCTGACCTTGTTAGTGAAAACAGAGGCAAAAAAAGCATTGAGTACATTAGCTTTTTCCACATCCTCTGTCACTAGTTTGCCTCCCTCATTCAGTAAGGGGCCCACACATTCCTTGGCTTTCTTCTTGTTGCCAACATACCTGAAGAAACCCTTCTTGTTACTCTTGACATCTCTGGCTAGCTGCAGCTCCAGGTGCGACTTGGCCCTCCTGATAACATTCCTACATGCCCGAGCAATATTTTTATACTCTTCCCTGGTCATATGTCCAACCTTCCACTTCTTGTAAGCTTCTTTTTTATGCTTTTTTAAGCTTTCTTTTTAACCCTAATCTAACACTTTCCTTCCATCCAGGCATCTCCCTGTTCAGCCTGTGCACATCATTTTTGCTCTGGTATTCGTGAGCCTGAGTTGCTGAGCGGAGGCTTGGGTGCTCAGGCTGGCATCTTGCACCTGCATTTTGGCTGGTGCCCCCAAGTGATGTAAGCAAACCCCAAGTGAGTGAGATGAGAGTCTCACTGTGATCATTGTGGAGACGCCACCCCTCCATATGGACCTACCTCCGAGCTCCCCATTTCTCCTGGTGATTTCCTTGTCTGCCTTTTGGCACTTTTCACTTCTGTTTACACACGCAGGAGAGCAGTTGGGGCAGGAGGCAAGGATTAATTTTATTTTGGCCACCCTGAAATGGAGCTTATAGAATGCCAGCAATGGGAGTTCTCCAGTCAGGCCACAGCTGCCCTCACCTTCAGTATTTGTTCCTTTGCCCCCCACCTCTCACGACTGCCCCCTGCACCTGCACCAGCCTTGCTTTCCCCAGGCACCCAGCAACATTCTCCTCTTCACTGTCAAATCAGCCACCCTGGGGAGTTGCTTACAAAATGAGAGTCCCTTGACAACGGTGCTTTAACGGGGCTTTAGCACTGGGGCACAGCCTGGGGGCATGGTGAAAATGGTTTGGTCCCATCCGCGCTGCGTTTGGGGACTGCTGTATTGTAACTGAGTCCCAAAGGGTTATTGAGCTGACAGTGTCGAGTTAAACAAGCCACAGTTGGGCCTTCTCTAGTCCCCTGCTTACCTGCATTAAAGCTCCACGTGGAAGCTCAGAATTGGAGGGGAAGCTGTGTTTTGTTTAACTTTCCTGCTCCAGGAGGGAGCCTGCTCCCAATGGGTCTGGTCTGTAGCTAACACATCCTGTAAGGTTGAAGTGTCCCTGGTCTGACATGGCTTTCCTTAGGGGGGTTCAGTAATATGTTTTATTTAGAACATTGGTGAGAATCTGCAGTTGCATTGATATAAACAGCAAATTGATGAAAGCCCCTTGGAACACAGCCATTGCAAGGTAAAAGTATTTGGGGGTGCTTGTGATGTCAGAGGAGTAGGGTTCTCCTCTGACCTTTACCCCAACTCTCTTGGCCACTAGTTTCCCAGCAACAGAACCCCCTGCTGGAAATCCTGGTCTCACAGTAGACAAATGCCTGCTAAGCTCTGTGGCTCCTGCGCCCAGAGGTGCCATGCCTGAGTTGCTCCTGTCCCATGTGTGCTGACTGGATTGCTTTGTTCCCCAGATAAAGGGATGGTGTTTGGCTCCCCGCTGACCGAGGAGGGCATCGCCCAGGTCTCGCAGCTCATCGAATACCTGCACAAGCGTAAGTGACTCTCAGCTCTCTTGCCAGCTTGCCATTCCCAGGGTGCATCCTGCTGGGGCATCTGGGGTTGCTTTAGAATCATAGAATATCAGGGTTGGAAGGGACCTCAGGAGGTCATCTAGTCCAACCCCCTGCTCAAAGCAGGGCCAATCCCCAACTAAATCATCCCAGACTGGGCTTTGTCAAGCCTGACCTTAAAAATATCTAAGGAAGGAGATTCCACCACCTCCCTAGGTAACGCATTCCAGTGTTTCACCACCCTCCTAGTGAAAAAGTTTTTCCTAATATCCAACCTAAACCTCCCCCACTGCAACTTGGGACCATTACTCCTTGCTCTGTCATCAGCTACCACTGAGAACAGTCTAGAGCCATCCTCTTTGGAATCCCCTTTCAGATAGTTGAAAGCAGTGATCAAATCCCCACTCGTTCTTCTCTTCCGCAGACTAAACAGTCCCAGTTCCCTCAGCCTCTCCTCATAAGTCATGTGTTCCAGTCCCCTAATCATTTTTGTTGCCCTCCGCTGGACTCTTTCCAATTTTTTCACATCCTTCGTGTAGTGTGGGGCCCAAAACTGGACACAGTACTCCAGATGAGGCCTCACCAATGTCGAATAGAGGGGAATGATCACATCCCTCGATCTGCTGGCAATGCTCCTACTTATACATCCCAAAATGCCATTGGCCTTCTTGGCAACAAGGGCACACTGTTGACTCATATCCAGCTTCTCGTCCACTGTAACCCCTAGGTCCTTTTCTACAGAACTGCTGCCTAGCCATTCGGTCCCTAGTCTGTAGCGGTGCATGGGATTACTCCATCCTAAGTGCAGGACTCTGCACTTGTCCTTGTTGAACCACATCAGATTTCTTTTGGCCCAATCCTCTAATTTGTCTAGGTCCCTCTGTATCCTATTCCTACCCTCCAGCGTATCTACCTCTGCTCCCAGTTTAGTGTCTTCTGCAAACTTGCTGAGGGTGCAATCCACACCATCCTCCAGATCATTAATGAAGATATTGAACAAAACCAGCACCAGGACCGACCCTTGGGGCACTCCACTTGATACCGGCTGCCAACTAGACATAAAGCCATTGATCATTACCCATTGAGCCCGACAATCTAGCCAACTTTCTATCCACCTTATAGTCCATTCATCCAGCCCATACTTCTTTAACTTGCTGGCAAGAATACTGTGGGAGACCGTGTCAAAAGCTTTGCTAAAGTCAAGGAACAACACATCCACCGCTTTCCCCTCATCCACAGAGCCAGTTATCTCGTCATAGAAGGTAATTAGATTAGTCAGGCATGACTTGCCCTTGGTGAATCCTGTGCTTTGTGGCACAGGGCAGAACACTGGGCTCCAAACTTGAGCGTTTTGCTTGGATTATGTGCTGGTGCTGTGACCCGGAGTCACCTGTAGCAGCTCCTAGCCTGTCTCTCACCTCTCTGATTTTGCAAGCATTCCTTCTGCCAGAGCTGTAGGGCACGTCCTGGGGCCCTGGGGCTGTATATAGCCCACTGAGTAAGGTTTTCTATATGGGATCCCGTACAGGTGGCTAGAAGAGAAATTGGGAGAGGGCTCCTTGTGGCAAAGGTCGGGAGCCCCCTCCTCACGGTGAGTGATCTCTTTCCCACTCCCTGCCGAGCAGATCTGCGAATGGAGGGCTTGTTTCGAGTGCCAGGGAACAGTCTCAGGCAGCAGACCCTGAAGGATGCCCTGAACAGCGGGTCTGATATTGACCTGGAATCGGGGGAGTTTCACTCCAATGATGTGGCCTCTCTGCTGAAGATGTTCCTGGGTGAATTACCAGAGCCCCTGCTGACACACAAGCACTTCCAAGCCCACCTCAAAATTGCAGGTGAGTAGGTAACGGGGGCAGTGATAGAAACGAGGAATGGGAGCTGAGCGAGCCTCCTCGAGGGCAGCTTATGTCAATGGGCAACACACTGGAATGTTTGTCTCTTTTGGGAACTGGGTCTTCTGACAGGGGAGGGACCCAAAAGGCGAATAACCCCGAGGGTGTTTTTCCTGTGTACTTTTCAGCCCCATGGGCAGGAGTTAAACAGCATGTGGAGGGTTCCCGGGGGTGATGGAGCCAGGGTAGGCATGTCTGGAGAAGTACAATGTATGAGGGGGAGGGTTGATGGGGGTTGGAGGCGGTAACTGGTCAGTATGGACCTAGCTTCCTAGTTACGGAGACCTGAGGGGCTCCAAGTGGCTTCAGCTTCTACGCCCTGGCTTGCAGGTCTGATGCAGTTTGATGACAAGGGGAACAAGACCAGTACACCGGATAAGGAGCGGCAGATCGAAGCTCTGCAGCTGCTCTTCCTGATCCTCCCCCCGCCCAATCGCAACCTGCTTAAGCTGCTGCTGGACCTGCTCTACCAGACGGCCAAGAAACAGGACAAGAACAAGATGTCTGCCCACAACCTGGCTCTCATGTTTGCACCTCACATCCTGTGGCCCAGAAATGTAAGCAACACTTAGCAGCAGCTGGGTTATACTGCAGGGAAGAGCAGCGGAGCTGGGAGGGGCTCCGGATTACAACAATAGATGAGGCTGTGGGCCAGGACTGGAGGGTGCTGGCCAGGCAGTGTGGGGGACACAGGAGTGGGAGAGTGGGCTGGGCTGACAGTCAAGATTCAGGGGCCTTGGCCGAGCTGTGTTGGGAGATGCTGGTGCCATGGCTGCTGCCTGCCATAGGACTGACAGCCGTGTATATTGCTTCCTCTTTTTCAATACTTCTGAAAAGTCACCAAACTCCTGCTGTTCCTAAGAATTGCCTTGTGAGCGATGCATGTGGCCTGAGGGATGCACCGCAGCCCTTTCTCTGCAGGGCCACCTGTGCCTGCTGCTAAACTTCTGCTCTGAAGTGCAGGTGCCTGAGACTCTGGGCTGTCCTCCTGGCACAGGCTTTGGATCTGTGTCCAGTGCAATAGAGGCCTGAGCAGAGGGACAGGATCTTCCTGGAAAGTCGGCCAGCACACTCAGCCTCCTCCTCTTCTAATGCTCGTGCGTGGGCTTTGTCCCCTCTCCAGGTGACAGCAAACGACCTGCAGGAGAATATCACAAAGCTGAATGAGGGCGTGGCCTTCATGATCAAACACTCGCAGAAACTCTTCAAGGTCAGTGCACCCCAAGGGGGTCTCGGACCCCTGCTCTCCGTGTCGCTTCCACACACCCTTTCTGGAGGGGCTCTTAGGGTGCTGCGGCTGGCTGGTGACACTGCCTGTGCTCTCCTGAGAGGGGTAACCGAGAGGTGCCAAGCTAGTGACCCAGCAGAAGCGAAGTGCACAGGTCTGAGATGCCTGAACTTGGCCTCTTCCTCCTTTGGCTGGTTGAAAGCACAGGGCAGAGTAACAGCACCCTCTGCAGGCCAGTTCAGGCACTGGCTTTGGCAGGCTCCGAAGCATGTTTGTTTCATAGGGGACGTTCACAAGGGCCATTTTTGGGGAACTTAGGGTCCCTATTTACGGGAGAACATCTCCTGGGGCTCTCCCGTGGTGAGGGCTGGTAGGAGCTGAATCTGTATCCAGGTGGGATGTCCTCGGTCTCATAGATATTCATGCACATGGCGAAGCCTCTCCCAGGGCTGGGGCTGAGCTGGTAGGCTGTGACCAGAGGAGAGGCCCAGCTCTGCATGCTCCAGGTGCAGGGTGGGTTGGTGGGACATTGCTAAGGGGCTCTCTGCACCAGTCCAGGTCCTCTCGGGGAGGACCGAATTCATTTGCAGGGTAGGGTGTGTCTTGGCCATGCAGCACGCTCCTCAGTCATGCTAGGGTCTCCAAGGCCTGGGGCTGCCATTCTCAGCATGCCCGTTTTCTCTCTGCAAGGCCATACCGTCTCTAGGTGAGCATTTTTTCCTCTCTTAGTCAGGCTCTGGCTCTGACTCCAGCGACTGGGTCAGTTGTTTGCATGTGGAAAAAGCATTGCAGACCCTTTTCAGGGTACGTTGGGCTGGCCGTACTCTCTTGGTTCCATTGGGGTTGGCTTCGTGTCTCAGCAGAAGCGCATTTTACCACTAGCTCCTGTGAGTCCAGAGGGGCTGGTGGGGTGTGCAGTGTGGTCCAGGGCCCAGGGGAAATGCCAGCTTTCGCCTGTGCTCACTGCCTACCTTCCCTCCCTGTCCAGGCTCCAGCATACGTTCGAGAATGTGCCAGGCTGCACTACCTGGGGTCCAGGGCGCACGCTTCAAAGGTGAGGACAGCAGATGAGTGGCTGCCCACGGGGAAGGGGCAGGTGCTGGGAAGAAAGCGTGTCACTCCCAAGAACAGGATCTGCCCAGAGAGTGGAGGGGGATTCGGAGTTAGCAGGTCCCTGGGAAAGCTGCCATGGGACCATGGCTCAGGATCACCCGCGTGATGGCACTGGGGAAATCAGGACCTTTGCAGGAGGGAGGAGCTGGAGCATGAACACCATGGCAGCCCCCAGATCTAACACCAGGCCTATTATCTGTCCCCAGACGCAGTATGTGTAGTGACTAGATACTTCTTCGCTGGGCTGTCATGTTCAAACCAACCTGAGCAATTCACATTAACCACTGGGGTCAGGCCATTCTTGGTCCGGGGGCAGTACAGGCTGCTGCAGCAAGGGGGATCAGACCCTCCACTAGATGGGGAAAGAGAATTTCTCCCCTTGCTCTCCAGCAAACTAGCCCTTCCCCATCTAGCTGACGGAACTGGAATGATGCGCTGAAGGGAGAGCTGCACCAAGTCCTTCTCGGCCTGGGGGAGCTGCTGCCCAGTGGTGTCCAGGGGACAGGAAGAGCCAGGGGAAGTCAGCTCACTGCCGCCCCCATGCTGGGCACAGCTCTGATGGGTTTGTTAGTGGACCGTTGCTGCACAGCAATGGGAATGGGGTGTGACCAAGTCTTGCTCGGGAGCCGGCACAGCTGTTCCTGCGGGCCCTCAGACGCAATGGCTGGTTTGGGTTTTGTAACGAGTCATGTCGCTTTCTGGGATCGCGGGCGCGCGCACGCTGTGGAGCGTAGCAGGCTGGCACTAGGGCAGGGAGTGACGTGGGAACATGACGTGGGAACTTTCCCAGGATGACCTGGATTTGCTGACATCTGCTGGGTCCAAGGAACTCCAGCCCCTGAAGTCTCAGAAGCGGAGCAGGCTGGATCCTTGCCACCGGGAGGAGACGCAGCAGCGCACGGAGGAGGCGCTGAAGGAGCTCTTCCACCACGTCCACAGCATGCCAGACTCTGCTAAGAAGAAAAAGCTCATCCGGCAGGTAGTGTTCAATGGGCAGGGGCTGGTCCGAGGGAGCACACCACTGGCTGCAGGCTCCCAGAGGCAGGGCTCGCCCACAAAGCCACCCACAGATCCTGAGCAGGCAGGGGGCTTGGGGTGCTGTGCCCTAGAGCTGAGCCGGGTAGCTGGGTGGGGTGACTGGAAGATAACATCATTGTTGGTTTACACCTAACATGCTGCCCTGCGTGTTCTCTCTAGTTTCATAAGCATCCCGGCACTCTCACCCCTGGGCCCGATGCACCGACACCCCCAGTACAGAGGCGCACCCGATCCCGCTCCTTTAGCGGCCTCATTAAGGTAACTGCAGCTCCCCGTCAGAGCACTGTCTGTTGCGGGTCTCTGGCTGAAGTCCCTCTCTGGCCCTGCCTGCTGCCATCTCCTATGCTTCGGGGCAGCTCCCAAATCTCACAGGCCTGGCTCTTTGCAGTGTGTTGGGATGGTCCGGCTTAGTGACGCCCCCTGCTCCGGTGCAGTGGTCGGAATAGTAAACCAAGTGTTGAGGTGCCTGAGGAAAGGGATAGCAAACAAAACGGAGACTATTCCAATCCTCTACATCAGCCCCAGGGCATACACGTGTGCGTACGGGTCACCCCGGCTTCAGAACAGCCTAGAAGGGGCCCAGGAACAGGCGACAAGCTCTGGAGGGACTGAAAAGCCTGGAGTGGGTTACTGGAGAGAGGGGCCAGGAGAGGGATACGAAATACTGAATGGCGCAGAAAGAACAGACTGTGCTCTGGTTACCCTGCATAACGGGAGAGCAACGACGTTGGGAGACAGCACATGTAAATCATGGGGTCATCTAGTCCAAAGCGTTTCTCAACCCTCTTGATACCAGTGTCACGGAGTCCCCGGGCGATGCTCTGGAACTGCTCCCCATGAAGCCAGTCAGGACTCTGGGGCAGTCGCCTTTCTGTGAGCAGCCTGTCTTCAGGACACACAGCTCACCCAGCTTCCACCTTCCTGGGTCTGACCTCGGAGCATTCAGCATCCTCTGCCCCTCCGTGCGCTTCCCCCCAGCGAGTCCGCTCAGGCGGGGCTCCTGGGGAAGCCAGAGGGTCCTGCACCCCAACTTCGCAGTCAGACGTGACTCTCAGCCAGCCAGTAAAACAGAAGGTTTATTAGACGACAGGAACATGGTCTAAAACAGAGCTTGCAGGTGCAGAGAACGGGACCCCTCAGCTGGGTCCATTTTGGGGGGGCAGTGAGCCAGACAACCCCGTCTGCACTTCACTCCATGTCCCAGCCAGCCCCAAACTGAAAACCCCCTCCAGCCCCTCCTCCTCTGGGCTTTGTTCCTTTCCCGGGCCAGGTGGTCACCTGATTCCTTTGTTCTCCAACCCTTCAGCTCTCACCTTGCAGGGGGGGAAGGGCCCAGGCCATCAGTTGCCAGGAAACAGGGTGTCGGCCATTCTCTGTGTCCAGACTCCTGCACACACATGCCCTCTAGGGCTCTGCAATGATCATACACCCTTACTCCACCCCCTAGATACTTAAGAACTGCCTAGGGGAAACTGAGGCACCCCCACACTATTCAGAGGAAACATTAAGAACAGTCCCACTTCGTCACATCTCTCCCCCCCTTCGAGATCGAACTGAGCGGGGTCACTTTAGCCGGTGACCTGGGGAAGTTCGAAGCCACCAACGTTCCCATGGATGCCCCAGCATCTCTCCCATTCCTTGGTAGGAGTTACACCAGGCCCTTCCAGTTTCATACCCTCCCTTAGGTCAGGGGTGGTCGATAGCACTCGCAGGCCGCATGTGGGAAGGTTTATGCAGCCCATGCCCTTTGGCCACCCCAAGAATGTCTCCCCATTGACCATCACCTTCTGCTCCCACTGGAGGTCCGAGGGGCCTGGCCCCAGGAAACTCCACACAGACATATAGGTTGGGGTCAGGAGTGGGAGCCTGTCCACATCCCCAACCATCTGGCTGACGGAGTCTATGGCCTTGGGACCCAGCAAGGGAGCTAGACACCGGGGCTTTTCCGCAGGGTCCCCCTGGTTCAAATCGCCAGCCTGCTCAAAGGCAGTGAGGTGGGCATCCACACACACCCCCCTCCTTAACCAGGGGCAGCCATTTAGTCTCGAGGTTCCCTGCGGAACTGGCCCCCCGGGATCTATCCCCACTCACCCCTGGGAGGTCCCCTAGGCCTCTCCGCTCCCCCACCGCCAGTTCATGCTGCTGCTGCTTCTGCAGCTCTTTCTCGAGCTCTCGCTGTCTCCCACAGTCCTCTTGCTCTCTCGGTCTCAGCTCCAATCCCGTCTGTCTCGATCCTCCGATGGGGAACCCGATAGTGAAGACCCCCGTCTGGTCGGGGACAGGAGTCTTGGCGATGCCTGGCTCCCGCTCCAGCTGCTCCCAGATCCTGCTATAGCCCCAGTTGGGGTCAGGAATCTGTTCCTTAGAGCAGTCATCCTCCTCCAGCTGCACAATTAACTCTGCTTTGGTGAACTTTCCAACGCTTAACCCTCTCTTTTTGCACAGGGTTACAATGTCCTTCTTAAGGAGACGGTGACAGGCCATCACTCCGCTCCTCCCAAGTTGTTTTGGACTCACAGGCCCGTGTGTTCTCAGCTCCCCACGGTTTCCAGGGAGAACCCCTAGTGTGCCAGCCCTTCTCGAGGTCACCACCTCTTTGCCAGGGTCGAGCTGCAGACTCCTCCGCCCCTGAGACTGCTCACTGCAGTCCCCAGGGGGACCCCATTACTGCACAGTCCTTCTCGCTGGTCACACACTCCCAGGGGTTAACCGCCCCCCGAAACCGCTCCTTTCTGAGCCTTCAGCAGGCCTGGTCCTCGGCAATCCCCCTTCGTGTTACTGCTCCCCAGTCACTTACTGCAGGAAGCGCCATCCACGGGGTGCAGTACATCCCACCGCTGCCACCAGTTGTCACGGAGTCCCCGGGCGATGCTCTGGAACTGCTCCTCATGAAGCCAGTCAGGACTCTGGGGCAGTCGCCTTTCTGTGAGCAGCCTGTCTTCAGGACACACAGCTCACCCAGCTTCCACCTTCCTGGGTCTGACCTCGGAGCATTCAGCATCCTCTGCCCCTCCGTGTGCTTCCCCCCAGCGAGTCCGCTCAGGCGGGGCTCCTGGGGAAGCCAGAGGGTCCTGCACCCCAACTTCGCAGTCAGACGTGACTCTCAGCCAGCCAGTAAAACAGAAGGTTTATTAGACGACAGGAACATGGTCTAAAACAGAGCTTGCAGGTGCAGAGAACGGGACCCCTCAGCTGGGTCCATTTTGGGGGGGCAGTGAGCCAGACAACCCCGTCTGCACTTCACTCCATGTCCCAGCCAGCCCCAAACTGAAAACCCCCTCCAGCCCCTCCTCCTCTGGGCTTTGTTCCTTTCCCGGGCCAGGTGGTCACCTGATTCCTTTGTTCTCCAACCCTTCAGCTCTCACCTTGCAGGGGGGGAAGGGCCCAGGCCATCAGTTGCCAGGAAACAGGGTGTCGGCCATTCTCTGTGTCCAGACTCCTGCACACACCTGCCCTCTAGGGCTCTGCAATGATCATACACCCTTACCCCACCCCCTAGAGACTTAAGAACTGCCTAGGGGAAACTGAGGCACCCCCACACTATTCAGAGGAAACATTAAGAACAGTCCCACTTCGTCACAACCAGGGACCGGCTTGCTGCCTTCCTAACCTGTGTCAGGGAGATCTCCGGGGCCGGTGCCGGTCCACAGACTGGTCATTGAGAAACATTGAGCTAGTCTAACCCCTGGCCAAGAGGCAGGATTTGTGGTGTCTAACCCATCCCAGAGAGATGGCTCCAGCCTCCTTTGGAAACCTCCAGCAAAGGAGCTTCACGACCTCCCGAGGTATCTGTTCCATTGGTCTACTGCTCTTATAGTTAAGAAGTTTTTCCTGAGCTTTAATTTAAAAGTAAAACTGCTAAGACCTTTCTACACCATGCATAACCAGTTGGGGAACTCACTGCCCCGGCTGACAGAGCTAGTAAGATATGGGATTAGCGGCTTCTCCTGATAATCGGCATGTCTGCAGGTTCGTGAGAAAGGGGAACGATAATGTCGGTGTGAGGATAGAAACATCCTGCACCAGGGCATGAGGTGGCCACCACTTGACAGCTGGGGAAAGAAACTTCCCTCGTGGTGCGTAACTGCACAGTTCCCTCGGGGTGTTTCACACCTTCCTGTGGACAGCTTATGTCAGCCACTGTCAGAGACAGGATAACAGGCTAAACGGGCCCATTCTGGTCTCAGGCCCAGTGTTTGTGCCCATGCAAAGTGAAGTGAGTGTCTTGCATCCTTCTGTGACAAAGTCAGTCTGATGGCTGCAAGAGAGTGGTGGAAGACAGTACGAGAATGATAAAGACCCTTTTTCCTACCAGCTGAGAAGGGGTTACCTCAGGTCAGTTCAGGACACCTGAGTCCAATTAAGGGCTGCTGGAGACCTTTACAGACCCCTCCTCTGGTGAGAGAGGGAGAGGAGGGCTGAATGCCTGTTTAGGGGAAGGACTGACACCCCAGGGCCTACAACAGGACAACACCCCCCCCCCCCCCCCCGCAGCGAGGGGGCAGGGAAAGGTTTGTGTTTGTAAATTGGTTTCTCTTTGTTTGATGGAGGAGCCCTCCTAGGGCCTGCCCCAAGGCATACCTCCAAAATCCTGATAAGTAAACCCAGCAGGGGAAGAGAAACATTGTCCGGAGTGTGGCTGCTTTACCCCAGGCCCCACCGCTGCCAGAGGGGGAAATGCTGGGAGGAGGTGCCCGGCCACACCTTCCTTTGAGCAAACCTTGTTAGGTCAGATTTCAAGTTGGTCCTGTTTGCAGGGAGTCTTTTGCTTCTTTTCCCAACATCCAGCTGCTGGCCATGTGAGGCTGTGATTTGAACCCAGAATCCTCATCCTATCCCAGCGCTCCCCTCCCTGCTTAAGGCCTCTCACAGCACTTACCAACAACCCTCTCTTTTTTCTAACTCAGCGGAGGATGCTGGGGAACCCACTGATCTTGGAAAGGAAAAGCAGGGACTCCACACCAGAATCCGAGCGAGCCAGCAAAGAGAGCCTCCACCTGGTAAGAACTGGGCCTGGGGACTTTGCTTCAACAGGGGCGTGTTGGCTGCGCTCTGCTGGAGTCTGGGCCTGTGGATGATCTGTCTGCAATCAGACACGAGGCCAGAAGATGCCATTCTGGGGACAGCCCTTTGTGCAACCCAAGGCTTGGGATGGAGACAGCCCTGGAGTTCAGTGCTGAGTCTCACCTGGGCGGAGCTCCTCTGGCTCTAGTTGTGCTGTGGAAGTTCTCTCCTGGCTTCTCTGCCCTCCGTAGTTTATCCCATTATATCAGCCTCGCTCTCACACTCCTCCTAAAGCTGCTTCTCCCACTTCACCATGATCTTTGCCATGGCGCTCTCTGAGGGACTGAGCTGAAGATTCATGTTAGGAGCAAAAAGAAAAGGAGTACTTGTGGCACCTTAGAGACTAACCAATTTATTTGAGCATGAGCTTTCGTGAGCTACAGCTCACTTCATCGGATGCATACCGTGGAAACTGCAGCAGACTTTATATATACACAGAGAATATGAAACAATACCTCCTCCCACCCCACTGTCCTGCTGGTAATAGCTTATTAAGGTATTGTTTCATATTCTCTGTGTATATATAAAGTCTGCTGCAGTTTCCACGGTATGCATCCAATGAAGTGAGCTGTAGCTCACGAAAGCTCATGCTCAAATAAATTGGTTAGTCTCTAAGGTGCCACAAGTCCTCCTTTTCTTTTTGCGAATACAGACTAACACGGCTGTTACTCTGAAACATGTTAGGAGCACAGGACCTCCTGGCCATGGAGTCCGGTCCCTGATATCTCAGGGAAGTCCTGTCAGATTGTCCCCATCATTGACTTATCAAGCTCCAGGTTGTTTGCTCCACTGCTCCTACTGGGAGGCCGCTCCAGATTGCTTCCCTGTGAGGATTAGAAACCACCTTCTCATTTCCAGCCTTAGCTCCCTTTGTTCTGGTGCCAGCAGTGTCCTTTAGCTGCAGCAGCTCTTCTCCCTCTCAGCTGTTTACCCCCAGGGTATTTATAGAAAGCAACTGATCCCCTCTCAGCCTGCACTGTGCTAGGCTGAATAAGCCACCGTCTTCCAGTCTCCTCTCAGAAGCTCGCTCTCCATTCCCCTGATCATCCTAGGAGCCCTTCTCTGCACTCTTCCAATTTGAATTCAGATTATTTTCATATTTACCTCCGGGCCAGCCCTGCATCTTTCCTCTCACTCCTTCAGTCCCAGGCCCAGGTCTGTTTGGTGGGTTAATCTAGACTAACCAGCAGTTTAAGGCAAAGGCAGTCTACTCCCTGCACAGGAGATCATTGTCCTTTGTGGGGTGTGGGTAACACCATGTCCTGTGCCAGTCGAGGTGAATTTGGACTTGGGTAAGAGACTCACCATCTACTTAACATGGTCTGCTTGCAAGGAAGATCTTGGAGTGCCAGTTTATCCCCCAGCCTGTCTCTGCTCCCTCTGACCCTTCTGCCTCTGTCTCACCATTTAAACCGTGTCCAGTTACAGAGACCTCCTGAATCTCCAGCAAGTCATGGGACCCGAGCAAGGCTAAAATTGTCTGAGGGCAGGAAAGAGGTGAGAAATTCTGCACGCACAAGGTACCATACACACATGTTGATCTCCACACCACTCCAGTACGTGTAAACCCCTGCAGCCCATTGCATTCTAAATTGCGGTCTGTGCCTGCCTTCATCTTGAATATGGGAATGGGGCCTGCAGGATGACAGATCCCAGCATGCAATGCTCCATTTCGGTTTAAGTTGCCTGGATCATTGTGTATTGGGAGCTATAGTGCCATGGGCCTTTCTCTCTGTATTAAAGAAGGGGGTTGCTGCAGTCTGCTGCGTGTGCTTGGCCCCTTTGGAAGTCAGGGCGGGAGTCTCATGCTGGGCTTCCGTACCCAGAATGAGTGGGTAGGATGAAAATATTGACTAGGTGCAGCTGTCAGGCTGCTGGCGAGCAGAGGTGTGGCGCTTTGGAATGTGCTGGTTAAAGCCGTGGCCAGCTCTAGGGCACAGTTAAAAGCCCCCTGGGAAGGGAGTTCAGCCCAGCTCCCAGTGCTGAATGTCAGCCCCAGCCAGGCACTTCCCAGGACAGTGCTGTCAGAAAACACACGCTGTCTGAAACTTGCTGGGCTGGCAGCTGGTCTAAGAGGGAGGGACAGAGTGACACGCAGAAGCAGCATGGTGGTGGGAGAGCTGAGGTCTGCTAGGAGATGGGCGCTGGCTTGGCGGGTGCTAGAGGAGGAGAAAGGAGGGTGACCAGTTACTGACCCTGTAGGGATTGTTCATACCTTGTGCCAGCTCGCAGGAGACGCTGAATAGCTGTGAGTCCCAGGGTCTTCCGCTCGCCTACCACTGGGGCTGCCCCGAGACCTCGGCTTGCGGGGAGAGAAACATGAGCCCTTCACACTCAGTTATACTCAGCCTTTCGGGCATATTAACGGCTGTAATTCCTCTGGCCCAGGACTCCCGTAAACATCTGCAGGCCCTTGTGCCTTCCACCAAGGAGTCGTCCATCTGAGCAGCCAGGCACCAGCCCTTGTGTGCAGCAGAAGTCTGGACGTGTAAGCTGTGACTAATGCCTGCTGCATCTCAAGCTGTGAGAGGACTTAGTGCCGCAGCCTCCGGCGATCCCTCTAATCCAGCTCACCAGTGCTTGGCTTGCAACGGGGCTTGCTGCAAGAACAATGAGGACGCTGACTTCTCTATGTTAATATGGGCAAACCACTATCTAACCAAGCACCTGCAGGGTGTGTCTGAGGAAGGGCTGGAGAGCCCGTTGGAAGAAGGCAGGAGCTTTGTATTCACTGGTTTTGTTCAGTGCTCCGGGTTCTCACTCTCTGAGCTTTTAACACGTTTGTCTTGTTTTTACGCCCTGCCTCCCATCAACAACCAGAGCGGTCAGCCACATCCAGGCAGCTAACTGTCTTACTAGCTCTTGTGCAGTAGTCTCTCCATGCGGGTATCGATGGAAGTCAGAGGATGGCTGCAGCATCTCAAATCCCCAACCCCAGGGGTCACTTCTGCATTCCTGACAGGCTGCGTGCCTGGCTTGGCCATGTCAGCCCCATGGCAGCGGTATAAGGGGAATTGGGGGGTGACATCTTAATGTCAAATGGCAAAGAAGCAGATTCCAGAATAAACTCTCATCATCCTGATGTTAACAGAGCCCCTTAGCTACAGTCCCTGCTACTTAAAGGGTAGTCGGTAGAAAGCACCCAGTGAAACCAGCCCAGGGAACAGACTGTGTGGTCTTTAACTAAAGGTCAGACATAATTATAGAGGGAACCTTGAGGATACTTCAGAGTGCTTGTTTACGCAAGGGCTGTGTCTCCTGCCGGGAGGTGCTGGAAGGCAGGTTTCTCTGCTTCTGGAGTGGATTGTGTTTCCATGTACCTGTCACCTCCCTGCACCCTGCTTCCTCTCCCATCACACTGATTGCCAAGCCGGGAAGGTCTGTCTCCTTTCTAATCAGCCGCCGACTGCCTGGCACATCCAGCATTGCCGCAGCACCATGCTGGTTACCTCCCAGTTGTTTCCGTGGTCGAGGTGTCTGGAGGACAAGGAGGGGGTAGCTAATGGCTTTTCACAGTCTCTATCTAGGGGGTGCTGAGCCAGGCAGAATCTCTTGAATGGGAAAGGGGGTGGGAGGGGGAGGCAGACAGGTTGTCTGGAGCTAACATGGTGATGTGACCTCCCATCGCTCAGAAGCAGGTGTCCACGGCAGCCAGGCAGAGCCCTCGTGGGAGCAGTGCAGGGGCGAGGGTGTTGCTTGGTGGGTGCTGGAAGCTACCGGCAGCTTTCCAAGTGATGGCTGGAGATAGGTTTGCCAGGCCCAGTGCCCTGGGATACGTACCTCCCTCTGTCAGTGGTACCGAAGACTGGCCTGCGGACTGTGTATTGTAACCAATATGCTGATCACATACAGGGGACTGCAGACTGCCTGAACAATCAGTTAGCAAGCTGTCACCTGAGGTGCGGGAGAAGACTGGATCTTGGCTCAGAGCTGCAGAAATGGGATGAAATCACCTAGACCCAGAATAAGCCCCCATTGCAGCTGGTCACCGGCAGCTGTCTGGTTCATTAAGCTGAAGTACTCTGCTAAGCCAATACCTTTCAGCCACATGTCTGTGTGAGCACTGTGGTGTATGGCGATACACAAGATCACCACTGTGAAGTAGAGGCTGAATCAGTAGGGGAGCCGGCTAAACCCTTCTGAGCCCTCCTAGATGGAGCAAGTAATCACTGAAATCCAATTACAATTGTCTCCTAAGCTGCAGGGGCCAGCAGGGTAGAGTCCATCCATGGCAGATTCTCCATGTTTGAGGATTGGTGACAGCAGGTGTGAACAGAGACCGAGCAGTGAGGTGAGCCCAGCTCTAGGCAAGGGGCAGAGCTGTGCATGCAGGTCCCTGACCCAAGTTCTGCCCTGTTCGTCTAATGTCAGCGAAGCAGCGTGGCCAGTGGGCAGGACACTGCTAGTGGACGTAGGGGACTGAGCTAGGATTCTGTTCCTGGTGCTGCCACGCAGCGGGCATGTGACTTGCCCAGGACACCCTGCACAGTGGCAGAGGTGGGTATGCCCAGACTCCCAGTCCCCCCTTTGGATCCCTAAATGCCACCAACAGAGAGTCAATTGGAGGTACTGGATTTGTGTTAGTTTAAAATAACTCCCCCCCTTTAAGCCCCCCTTTAATGGAGCCGTGAGTCACTTTCTTCATAAAGGTTCCAAACTGCTTCACGTTCACAGACAGCTACGAGGAAAACTGGGTTTTTAGCTCCCCTTCAAATGCCCCCGAAGCGGTGCCACGCACGGGGCTCTGTCTGGCACACAGAGTGGAGCAGCATCTCCTTACCTGGCTCAAGGACATGCTGTGTCTTTGTGCTGAGCCTCGTTTTCTAGCTAGGAGAGGTTTGTCTCTGTCCTTCCCAGCTGAACAGTATCAGCCCTGCATTCTGCATGGCTCACAAACCCCCCACCCTCTGGCTGCGGTTGGGTGTGGTGCCAAAGTGAGGGGGCTTGTAGGTCCCACGGGAAGGATGAGTCCCATGCCTGCCCTCATTTCTAATCAACAAGGTGCTCCTTGAATACTGTGGGTCCCAGATTGCTCCTCCATTGGCTCCTTCATGTTCTGGGACTCCATGGCCCGCCCCTCCCTGAGACAGCCGAGGTATGGCCTTGGGGCTCCTGACAGTTTGGGCACTTGCCAGGTAACCCTTTGGGATCCCGATTGGCCTGGCTCAGTTCCACCAGGTCTGGAGCCAGGCTGGAGAGTCTGGAGCCCTGTCCTGGTCCTGTTCCAGTCTGTTTCTCTCTGCCTCAGCTAGCTGGGGCTGCTTGACATTGCTCTGGGGATCCAGGCTTGCCCCAGCCCTGCCCTTGGCTGCCTCTGTCCTTGCCACCACTAGTCGGAGGCTGTTGCATGTCCTGTCCCTTGACGTTATTTGGAATAGCTCAATCCCAGGAAGGTGTTTCTCGGCCGGGGAGAGTCCAGAGAGGCAGCCTGGGCCAGGGAGTAAGGACGTGGCTTGTGTGTTCAGTGCAGCGTCCACCAGCACATAGACCCGGGGCTCGTATTGCTGCGAGGCAGTGCCGGGGTAAATGGGCCTGTACAGACCCCCCTCAGGAACCCTTTTGTAAATAGCCTGTATCGGATACGCTGTTGGTCACTAACAACGCAGCCTAGCAGCAGAAACGGCAGCCGATGAGCGACCAGTTATTGCGCCAAGCAAGCAGCATTGTGTGCGTGGGGAGCTGGAGCGAGCGCTAGGAGGTGCTGCTGGCAGGTGCAGCTCCCCCCAGAGAACGAGAGCAGCAGTGATGCTGGAAAGCCTGACGGCTTGCTAGGGCCTGTGAGGAGAGACGTGTGTGTGCACCTGCCCTGAATGGTGACCCTGGGACTGCACCGACCCGTTCAAACACTGCACGGTGCCAGAGACCGACTGAAAACCAGCGTGGTCCTTGTGCAGGGGGCAGCCCCTTCACTGGAGCCTGGTGCTACTCCAGTACAGGTCGTTGGTCACTCCCCTCTACCCAGTGAGGGACAGGCCAGGTGCCCGGTTAGTGCTTCCCTCCAGCTTAGCAAGGCCAGCCTCTGCTCCTAGCCTCAGTCCTTGCGCAGGGGCATTGCCCGTCTCCTAGCTCCCCAGGGAAGGAGGGGCAATGTTCAGGCTCCTGATAGATCCCAGCCTGGCCTGGCTGTTAACTGAGTTTCTTGCTGTCCCCATTGTGGGGTTTCTGGATTCCACGGAAATACTGTCTGTTCTGCCAGGACTTTGTCCGTGGGGATTTCAGTGCAGGACACAAGGGATCACACCCCAGCTGGGAGCACCCTCCATCCTGTGTACTCTGTGGGCAGAGGGGACTCGTGGTGCGTCTCTGGACATTGCCAGCCCAGCTGCAGAGCCCACAGGAGCTGCAAGAAACCACTGGGTGCCAACTTGTCACTTATGGGCACAGGGGCTGTAGTAGCTACGGAGCACCCCTAGCCTGGGCTGTGCCCGGTGCCCCATCTGCTAGGAGTGGCACTGCTGGTGACGTGGCCCTAGCGAGCCTGGCCCTGGAGCCGGGGCATTCAGTGTCGTTTTTAATCTTTGTCCTTATTTATATGTGCAATGTGTGATTGTCAGTCTTAACGGGGAGTTCCCATATTAAAGGCTTGTTAGCGCTCTACACTCAGTGGCTTATTCTCGGCTTCATTGGGTCACCTCCTGCTGTTTGATGAGGATTTGGGGGTTGGTTTGTTTGCTCTGGGGGGTGGGGGGATAGCTGTTGACCAAGCCAGTCCCTTCATCTGGTCTCAACAGCACCGACGGGTCAAGCAGCTGGGCATGGGCAACTCCGAGGAATGGCGGGGTGACTCGGGCAGCGGTGACCCTGCGGGATGGTGGAGGGGAGGAGGCACATCAGAATGGCCATACTGGGAGGGAGACCAAAGGTCCATCTAGCCCAGTGTCCTGTCTTCCGACAGTGGCCAGTGCCAGCTGCCCACAGGGACTGAACAGAACAGGGAATCATCTAGTGACCCATCCCCTGTCGTTCCCTCCCAGCTTCTGGCAAACAGAGGCTAGAGACACTGTGAAGCCACGCTCCTACCCATTCAGGCTCTTCAAAGGTTTCCTGCAAACGGCAGGGGTCCCCCACACCTGCTGTTCCTTCAGCTGGCCTCCGTAAGAACCCCACCACTTTTAATCTGGGTGGATAAAAATCAGAGGTTTTAATTTAAATCTTTTTTTTTTAAATGTGTACGCTGTTCACTCTTTGCTTTCTGCCCATTTCATTGTCTTAAATAGCTGACGTGGATGATTTGTGCTTGTTTCCCTAATTAGTTTCCTGATTGTTAATAGAATTTTGGATTCTAGAGTCTTTTTTTCTGCCAAGAACCTTCACACTTAAAATGTTCCTCTGGGCTGTAAAAGATCAACCCAGGGCTTCATTAATGTCCTTGTTGTGAGAAGAGCTCAGACACAAACTGGATAAGCAGGCCGCCTGTGTACCATCTGCAACCAACATTCCCTTCCCATACAGTGAGCCTCCACCGGGCAAGAGCTGCAATGCTTTGCCCAGGCTGCCCTCCTCCACTGGGGCTGGCAGTCTGGAATCAGGGCTGCTGTGCTCCTAAGTCTGAAACGTCTATCCTCTGCTACCCAAAGATGGCTCCTAGGGGAACTGTTGGCCTGCGTGTTTAAAAGCAGGCCCCTGTGACTTTATTAGTGTACAGGAAATCAAACTCCCTTTGCAGTGTTAACTCTGACGCATTTTGGTTTCGAAGTGACACCGATTTTATGCAAACCAAGAGAAGTTTTTAATAAAAATACAGATTTAGCTGCTGATGCTGCAAACACTTACACCCGTGCTTAGGCTTACGCAGACAAGCCGTGGCATTGAAGTCAGTGGGGCTAGGCGTGAGGAAAGTTACAGGAATTACGGCCTTAATTTCCAATATTTTGGTTTTTGCCTGTAGTAGTTTTGTAAATTCAGATGAGATACCCAGCCCGGAGTTGTATGGGGGGAAAACCCACAGCATTTATCATTTACTTCATAATACATTGTAATCTAAATTTTCAACAGCACAAATTGTCAAATTAGTTTTACGAAACCTCAACCTCATTTAAATCAATTATTTAAATTGCCTTGAATCACTTCACTCTGGTTTCAATTTGACGTGTGATTTTCATTTAATCTTTTCTATTGTCATGTGGTGTGCTAGGAGCTGTCAAACAGCTGCTATGTTGCACCCCAGCGCTGGCTGCATTGCGTGGATTGGAGACAGGATTCTATCTATAAAATCATTTTTACAGCGTAGCTTGCCTGGAACAAGTGATAATTTTGGCTGGGTGAATAAATGACACTTTTTTTTTCTCATCCCCTTGGTAATGGGCATTAGATTTTGTGCTGAGGCTGCTAAATTGTGTATGAAGATAGACGCAGACAGCTCTGGGCTGTGTTCCCATGGAATTCGGAGCCTCGTCTGGGAGCCGATGTCTGGCTGGCAGCTCGTCTGCGGGACCCCATCTCTGAGGCTGTGTCGGTCTCCATCCTGCTTTGATCCTCTTTCCTTTTGATCCTCTGGAGGGAGATGATGTTCAGGGTTTCTGGGAGTTTGATTCCGGGGCTAATCCCTGTGAGGAGGCCAGATGGAAGCTGTGTCCAGCACTACGCTCTGCTGGTGCTGGGATCAGTGGTGGCCCTGCTCAGCAGGAACTTCACGGGGGCTGATTTTCGTGCAAATGCAGATGGGGGAGCAGTGTGGGCTGAGACGCTCTGTTCCCTCCGTAGCCCGTGTCACGGAGTCCCCGGGTGATGCTCTGGAGCTGCTCCCTACGAAGCCAGGCAGGACTCTGGGGCAGTCACCTTCCTGTGAGCAGCCTGTCTGCAGGACACACAGCTCACCTGGCTCCCACCTTCCTGGGTCTGACCTCGGAGCATTCAGCATCCTCTGCCCCTCCGTGCGCTTCCCACAGCGAGTCCGCCCAGGCGGGGTCCTGGGGAAGCCAGAGGGTCCTGCCCCCCAACTCTGCAGTCAGACGGGACTCTCAGCCAGCCAGGAAAACAGAAGGTTTATTAGACGACAGGAACATGGTCTAAAACAGAGCTTGTAGGTGCAGGGAACAGGACCCCTCAGCTGGGTCCATTTTGGGGGGCAGTGAGCCAGACAACCACGTCTGCACTTCACTCCATGTCCACAGCGAGCCCCAAACTGAAACTCTCTCCAGCTCCTCCTCCTCTGGGCTTTCCCCTTTCCCGGGCCAGGAGGTCACCGGATTCCTTTGTTCTCCAACCCTTTAGCTCTCACCTTGCAGGGGGGAAGGACCCAGGCCATCAGTTGCCAGGAAACAGGGTGTCGGCCATTCTCTGTGTCCAGACCCCTGCACACACCTGCCCTCTAGGGCTCTGCAATGATCATACACCCTTACCCCACCCCCTAGATACTTAAGAACTGCCTAGGGGAAACTGAGGCACCCCCACAATATTCAGAGGAAACATTAAGAACAGTCCCGCTTCATCACAGCCAGCCAGTCGGTGCTTCCTCCTCCCAGACGCTCAGCCATTGGGCCTACCAGGAGTGCTCAGGTCTCTCCCCCCCGCCTGGGGGCCCAGGGCCATGCTGGGGAGGGCCAAGGGGACTCGGAGTCCCTCATTGCTTGGCAGTAGGCTGAGCTGCAGCTGGCTGGGCCTGACCCACTGTTAGCTTTGGCACTGGCTTCAATGGGAGCAGGAGCAGGCTTGTAATTAAGCTACAGAGTTCTGGCCTCCAGCTGGTTAATTTCCTGTCCCCTTGCCCACCCTCCCAGCCCCACCTGCACCTTCTCATCTTTCTCTTCCATGGCTTGGGACTGTCTCCCTCCAGTGTTGAGACTGGTCTGTGCCTTGCTGGGGGAGGAGGAAGCTGCCTGGCAGCCTGAGGGCTGGCACAGCCCCAGCCGGGTGCATCTGAATCATGGAGCAACTTGCAAAGGACTTTCCCCGTCCTAATTCACACGGTGTCCCGGGAGCTGACTGGGTGAGTGGCGTTTTCAAACCTCCCACTGCCAGATGTCCAGGGAGAGTGTGTGTCATTCTGCTTCTCCCAGGGCTTTCAGTTAACAGCAAAGACACTGCTTGTACTGCCCCATAGCCCCACAAAGCCCAGCCAGTCCCAGCAGGGTGCGCATGGAGGGAGTGCGGGGGAACACACCTGATCCAGTTACAAAGTAATTTACAGAGGGTGGTGCTGGGCCTGTCCCACTAATATCCTCCCGCATGAAAAGGGAAGAATTAAAACCCACCGTTCCTGCCCCCTCTGGGAGCAGCTTGTTCCTGTCTGGCCTGGCTCATCTCAGGAGTCAGCCTCCCTCCATGTGTCCCGGCGTTAAGTTCCCTTTCTGGGGCTGGTTGCCGTGTTTGGAGTTGTGGCTGCAGGGAGGGAAGGTGGAGGTCTTCGAGGGATTGCTCCTGTCGATTCCAATGAGCTGTGCGTGCCGCGTGCACGGCCGTCGGCAAGTTTTCCCTTCTCAGCTCCTGTCGGTCGGCTGTGGAGCCCTCTGAAGTGGCGCCTTCATAGCACTGACTATGCCCCTTCCGGCCCGGCGTCTCCTCAGGTCCTTCTTACCGCCAGGGATCGTCATTGGAACTGCGGTCGCTTGCCTAGCAAGTGCTTCCCTTAGCGTACTTGCTGATCGTTGTAGTTTAGTTCTCAGTTAGTGGATTAAGTGTATGTAGTGATAGATAAGGTTGGGGAGTGGGGTATTTTTCTCCAATCCCTAAACCTTCCCCCTTGGGCTCCAGGACGTGCTGCGAGCCCAGGGGTTCAAACCCAGCAAGCCTATGCCAATGAGCGACCCCCACGACTCATTCTGAAGTGCCTGGGGGAAGCGCCCCAAACAGACAAGTGCCAAATCTGCAGAGCTTCCTGCCCCAGGACGAAAAAGGAGCGAGATTTCCGACTGAAGTAATTGCAGATGGAAACTGCTCTTCGTCCTGCCTGCCGCGGACCGTTTAAGTTAAAGGTTTCAGAGTAGCAGCCGTGTTAGTCTGTATTCGCAAAAAGAACAGGAGGACTTGTGGCACCTTAGAGACTAACCAATTTATTTGAGCATGAGCTTTCGTGAGCTACAGCTCACTTCATCAGATGCATACCGTGGAAACTGCAGCAGACATTATATACACAGAGACCATGAAACAATACCTCCTCCCACCCCACTCTCCTGCTGGTAATAGCTTATCTAAAGTGATCATCAAGTTGGGCCATTTCCAGCACAAATCCAGGTTTTCTCACCCCCCCCCCCCTCTGAAACCTTTAACTTTCTTAACAGCTTTCACTCCATTTGAGACCTGGTCAAACTGGGAGTAAATGAGTCATTACACAAAGTAAAACTATTTCCCCATGTTTATTTCCCCCCCTCACCCCCACTGCTCCTCGGACAACATTCCTGTTAACTGCTGGAAATGGCCCACCTTGATTATCACTACAAAAGGTGTTTCTTCCCCCCCCCCCCCCCCCCAAGCCCGGCTCTCCTGCTGGTAGTGGCTCATCTTAGGTGATCACTCTCCTTACAGTGTGTATGGTAACACCCATTTTTTCATGTTCTGTGTGTATATAAATCTCCCCACTGTATTTTCCACGGTATGCACCCGACGAAGTGAGCTGTAGCTCACGAAAGCTCATGCTCAAATAAATTGGTTAGTCTCTA